TGAAGTCTTCTTCTTGTTTCTGTGGTTAGGTTCTATTGGAGTCCCAACGTTGATTTTTTCTCAGCTTCTTGGGTTCCAGATAACGTTTTCCCAGGAGCGCCATTCTACAACGTGCAAATCCTGGGCACTAGCCTGAAATATAGGTATGCTGAGAACTTTGATCCGCCAAGTCACATGCTCGGCAGACTGGACTGTCTGCAAGCCTTAACTTGTGACAGTGTCCGAATTTTATTCAAAATCAGCAACTCATTAGTTCTTTTCTGCAAAGAACACATACGTTCCTTCGCATGGCTTTGCCGTGACCAACGAAATCTGTTTTGGATCCCAAGTTCATTCTTTTTCTCATTTCCGTCAATTCCCACACAAGTTTTGAACTTACCTTGTGTGTGTCTACATTCTTAGCTAAACACGTTATTACCGCGAAAATTTCTGCTTGAAATACAGTGGGAAACCCTTCCAAACTGTAGCTTGCACTCCATATATCTTTCCATTTCCTCCCATTTTGGGAGACTTGGTTCCGATATAGATGTTTCTATTGTTGAAGTCTACTCTGTATCTAGAAAAGAGTTATTCAAAAATAATATCATAGCCTGACTATTAAAAGTACAATATGAGTTTCAAGGCTTACTGTACATATATATTTCTACTATTTATTTATTTAGAACATTAATATTGGTCATGCGATACATTTTTATCAGCAAGTGGACAAATCTATGTAAATCTCAAACACATTACCATTACTATGGTAAAATTAGAATATCAAAAGGAAACAGAAGCGGTTAGATTTGAATCACTTCCTGCAAAACTTAAAACATCTATTTATTTCGTTCATTTTGTTTACAATTGCAGTTGTTTAGCTTTGTTACATGAGTGACTCATATTTTTCTCGAATGCATTGTAATGTTATTTTCCTCTCTCGGACTAAAATCGTTTGTTTTACTTTTTATTTTACAGCTGTGACCTAGTTGCTGACTGTTTGCTTCACTTTAATTAAATGTTTGGGTTCAATATAGTTTCTAAGTACAAATATAAGTTTTACTGGAACTTTTATATTGGTCTCCTACCAATCATTGATATCTAAAAAATTGTAATAATTATGACATATATATTATGAAAAGGATTAGACGACTGTCTTAAGTTGAAGAACAAATTTGTTATGCCAGTCGGGTCAAAGCCACGATATAAATAGTAAACTCTATTTTATTACTCGAGGTTTCGAGATTTAATTATCCTTTTTCCAGGAAAACTACAAAAAGCATTATGTCTAGATAACACTAAATTGGTGTATACAGGGTGTTTGGTAAGTCGATGCATTCCTTGCAGGAAGTTATAGTACAAGTGATTTGTAATATATTTCCTTAATATACCATATTCCGAAAGCGCTTAGTTTCCGATCTACAGGGTGTTAAAGTTTTAATAAAAAAATGCAATTTTATAAATATTGCGAAAACCGCTCAGAATATTTTAATGAAATTTTGCAAGCTTTAACAGTTAACAACAATACATGTTTTACGATAAAAATATTGTTTTCAGTTTCACCAGTGGCGTGCGCACAGGCACGTCTGGATATTTTTAAAGAAAAAAATGATACGCCACTGATTTTTCTTAAAATAAAAATTATTTTGAGTTCCTTGTTCAATATGGAAGAAAAAAGGTATCTTGTCTATTTTTCTTACGATCCACCGTTTTCGAGTAAAAAAATTAAAATCGATTTATTGCATGATTTCAATCATTTGAAAAATAACAGAAATTATGCATTCAGCTTTTTTTGTACCAATTTATTACAAAAAATTATTACTTCTCACAGTTAACAACATCAATCTAAAAAACTTGTTCAGTTTTTAGATTCACTATTCACTATTTAAACAGAAATTAGCAAGTTGGCTGTGCCCTCGTTTTTGCAATAAATCGATTTTAATTTTTTTACTTGAGAACGGTGCGTCGTAAGAAAAACAGACGAGATACCTTTTCTTTTCCAAATTGAAGAAGGAATTAAAAAATAATTTTTATTTTAAGAAAAATCAGTGGCGTATCATTTTTTTCTTTAAACATATCCAGAGACATGCCTGTGTGCACGCCACTGGTGAAACTAAAAACAATATTTTTATCGTAAGACATGTATTGTTGTTAACTGTCAAAGCCTGTAAAATTTCATTAAAATATTCTGAGCGGTTTCCACAATATTTTTAAATTTGCATTTTTTATTAAAACATTAACACCCTGTAGATCCGAATCTAAGCGTTTTCGGAATATGGTATATTAAGGAAATATATCACAAATCACTTGTACTATAACCTCCTGCAAGGAATGTATCGACTTACTAAACACCCTGTAGATTACTTACAAATTTGAAATTTGAGGAAAAATTATCAAGTTTAAATAAAATAGTTCTCTGTATAAGGAAAAATAGGTCGTAACTTAACACTGTTCTTGTAGGTCTCTATTTTATACGAGAAATAAAGGGTTTTAAAAACCTACAGGTTGCTGTTACGAAGATTAACAGAATTGATACATTTGATATATTTCTAAAATAAAACTAAAACCATTTTTTACCTGTAAAAGATGTCTGGCTAATAGTGAAACAAACTTGAAAATAATAAAAATAGTAGAGGTATTAGTGTAATGTCCCTAGCGTACCTCAAAGAATTAAAGCAAATTAGAAATAAATTATTATATTCTTATCAGCAGAGGCATACATGATTATTATTGATGAAACATTAAAAAAATTAATATAATATTAATAATATTTTTTTGATAATTGTTTTTCATTTAAAACTTTTGGGATATAAACTAATTGTTAATAAAATTTCAGTTGTACTTTTCAAGGTCATGATTTGAGTAAGACAGGCGTACTCAAGGTTACAATAATCCTCCTGTTGTTTTTGACGTATTTAAAAAAAAAATGTAAATGTGGCGTTTTCGAAAACCGTCTGTAACTTTTTTATTTAGAGGATTTTTTTAAATTTGAAAACACTTTTTCACAGAACATTTTGTGGAGGAATTTTACTGTATATTTAGACTTTCATTGCGACGTTTCGGTAGCAAGAAACCATCATCAACTTTCGTTTTTCTTATGGGCGCCATATTGAATTTTAGGCTGAGCAAATAGAACATTTTGTTGGCTTTTCAATGATATAATATTGGTAAAAAAAAATTTCAGAAACCTCAAAAATCAATATTTTAATATTTTTAATAAATCAGGCAACACCGCATAATTTTTCGAAACTATTATAGAATAGTCTCAAATATTTGCAAATATTGCATTATTGGGAATACCATTTGGCGAGTCACAATAATGTTTTACAAAGGTTCTTTTGCTGCATAGCCAAAAATGAACAGCATTTCGAATAATAATGCCGATGTTTATTTCCCTATTTCAAAACTAGCTTTTCAAAACTTCCAAACATTCTTTCAACTTTGTATTAAATTTAAAAAAAATACATTTTATTTGGTGGTTGTCTTTCGGGATAATTTCCAATATAACTGTTTAAAGCCACAATTGTTTTTCTATTATTTTTAATAAAGCACATTTTTCTTCATTGGAATAACGCAAAGCGTAATTTTTTCACTCAACGCCATCACATTAATGTTAAACTTTTACAACGATTTGAGACTATTATTTAATAGTTTCGAAAAATTATGGGGTGTTGCCAAAACTAAAAATATTAAAATATTGATTTTTAAGGTTGTCTTTGAAAGTTTTTCTTACTTATATCATTGAAAAGCCAAAACAATGCTCTAGTTGCTCATCTTAAAATTCAATACAGCGCCAATAAGAAAAAAGAATATTGATGGTTTTTCTCAACCGAAACGTCGCAGTGAAAATCTGAATATACAGTGAAATTCCTCGAAAGAACTTGCTTTGAAAAAGTGTTTTCAGATTTTAAAAATTGCTCTAAATAAGAAAGTTACAGATGATTTCCGAAAACGCCACATTTACGTTTTTTCAAAATAGACAAAAACCAAAAAACAGTCAAAAACCTGAAGAGCTAGTTTCCAAGATATCAATCATGTATCACCAAAATAGTCCACACTGTACAGGGTGTCCTTCTAAAGTCGGCGAGGTACGATATTAGAGAAAGTATAGGCCCTAGAGCTTCGGGAAAAAAATTTTGACAAATAAATCGACCAAGAGAAATCACTAGAAATAGATTTCAAGTTGAAAAAATCCATAAAACGGTATTCTTTTAAAATAACGCCATCTATAGGTTTCCATATTGAGGTAAATGATATTACGCATGCACCACGAGATAAAGCATGAAAAGACCTTTCCAACGAGGCATAACACTATGGGCTTTTAATGAGCCAATCCTTAAAAAAATGCATTTGTCTGATCAGACATGATGGCTTCCCCACGCTTTCTGTCGCGAGATAGAACAAAATGTCAATAACAAAAGTTATGCGCAATGAATCCGACTATCCATTTGTACTATTTAATATACTTGAATAGGAAACATTCCTGAGAAAAATTCAACTTTATGTTTTGGTGTGTAGATTGCGTCCCCTAGCGGCCGAGCTACGAACTTGAAAACTATTTCCAGCGATTTCTTTTGGTTGATTTATTCATCACAATTTTTTTCCCGAAGTTCTAGGGCCTATACTTTCTCTAATATCGTACCTCACCCACGTTAGTGGGACACCCTGTATAAACAGGGCTAGTACTACAATAACTTCATCGACCGTAATACATATTACGTTTGTTTCTACCGAAGTTGAGGACTGATTTGAAACTATTAAAGATATTTGACCAATTGCTGCGTGATCTCAGACTCAGACCGAAAGTAAGTGACAACTTAGGTGACCGAGTATAGCTTGAAAACAGTTTGAGACTGCGGCAGAAACAAACTTATTGACAATCAAGACTCAATACTCCCCCAGGAACAGCGTAAACAAGTCACACGTCACATTATCCCTAACACTGATCCGAACAACTCCCAACTTACCGTATTGTTCTGTTTCATGTTTTTACACCTCGATTCTAACCGGACTTTTTGTTGCAGCCCTGTTTGCGGCTGTGGAGCACGGCCACCTCGAAAAAGCCCGCACCATATTGGAGTCTACGGACGTTGACGTAAATAGGTGAGTGGAAAAAGTTCCTGAGAAATAAATTGGCGCCCGTTCCGGTGCAGAGCGCCCGGAGAATTGCTTTCAGAGATAGACGGAGGGCGAGTTACCGGAGCCGGAGGAAATAGTGACTGCGATGTGCTCGCCTCGCAATATTCATAGTTTGGAAAGTTTTCCGGGGTGGTGTATAATTCGCACTGCAAGTAAATAGTCATATTTCTGATGAATTTATGAATCTATATTAATATCCGAAAGCTTAAACATTTATTTTTTTGTAATTCATTTATTTAAAAGTACATTTCCCTATTAAATGATTCTAATTATACTAATAAACATACAAAGCAAAAGAAATACAATAAAGCAGAGACATACGTAAACTCATAAAACACTAACCTTTGTATGGCAGATACTAATGTTACACAAATAAAAAAATTGTTAATTGTTAATTTATTACGGATTAGGGTTTCTGGTCGAGACTTCTCGAAGCGAGAATTCCCGGGAAATTTGGCTTACTCGAGACGAGAAAAAAGTGTCGAGAAATCGAGAAATTTAAAAATCACGCGCGTCTTAAGTTCTTGATTGGAGTTCGTTTTTATTTAACTGAGCGGTTAAAGTGGTTTCTCTACCAGCTCATAATTTATTTATTTTAAGTTTTTAAGGCTTTAGTTTACTTTGATGATTCTTTTTTTTAATATACAGTGTGATTCACTATATTTTGAACCCCCGCTTTAACTTTTTTGTTTTAAGAGTTATAAAAAAATGTAAAATACAAAAGTTGTACGATTTTTTATGAAGTTTTCGAAAATGATAGTAGAAAAACAAATGAAGTTCAAACAAAATGGCCGCGGATGTTAACGTTGTTAATTTAAATGGAACACCCTGTATATTTTTACATATTTGGATAGAACGCTCCTTGTCGAGCATAGTCATATAGGGTTTGTTGGGGTAGGGTGTTCCTTTTAAATTAAGAAAGTTAACATCCGCGGCCATTTTGTTTGAATTTCATTTGTTTTTCTACTGTCATATTCGAAAATTTCATAAAAAATCGTGCAACTTTTGTATTTCACATTTTTTTATAATTCTTAAAACCAAAAAGTTAAAGGGGGGTCAAAATATAGTGAATCACCCTGTACCTAGTTATAAGTCTGTGTAGAAATTTTATTATAAGCAGATACCTAATGTTGAAGTGATAAATTAATAGGAAGAACGCTTCTGTATCTTTAAATTAAAGCTTGTTTTTTTAAGATTTCTTCAGTTAAATTCCTTATTTACTATTTATTTAATTGAAAGACTGCATGATTAATGATTATTAAATTATTATTGGAAGAAAACAACGATTCAAAAACATTGAAATAAACATAAGTACATTGAAAGTGTTTAATAAAAAAACAAGTTAAAGATTTTTAAGAAGAAACTCAAAGTTTAATTTAGTTTTGTTAGTAGAAGTAGAAACATAAGTAATTAATAAAAATACTGAATAAATAATAAATGTTAATGATGTTGTTAAGTATAATAGCATGTTTATATTTCGCATTGCAATACCAAAAAAAAATACTCAATTTTACTTAATAATGTATCAATTTCTGTCCAAACCCGATTAAGTGGAATTTTCACTCTATTAGTATGAGTACAACTAAAATTGTATGAGTGAAACTATTGCAGCAGAAGTGAGTGAATTTTACTCAAATCCGAGTTTGATAACTATTAAGTGAGTAACTTTTGACTCTATTCTGATTATTTAACAACCAGTTAAGAGTATATTTTTTCTCTAAATTAACTATTATCAAGTAATTTTTTACTCAGACTTAGCATATGAACGAATTTTATTTTTTTATGTGAAAACCGTACGTCAAACGAAAAAAATTCAAGACACTACATTTGCCAGAAAGGAATGAGGATTTCAAAAATGATTTTTATTTTAAGAAAAGGCAACGGCGTAAAATATTTTTCTTTAAAAATGTTCAATAAAAAACCTGTACAGACGCCAATGGTACAAATAATAAAATTGTTTGTACATCAGAAAATGCATCTCGATGAATAGAAGGCGTGTACCAAATTTTAAAATATCTAGGGTAATAGCAAAGTTATAAAAAAAAAATGTTTTTTCGTAAAACTTTAGCACCCTGTAGTTCAAAAATTAAGACTTTTAGAGACATATGTTCATATAATGTTTTTTTCTTAAAATGGCCCCAAGAATAATCTCCTGAAATATTAGCACGTTCTTAAGAAACACACTGTATAGTGCCTTCTTCTGCAGCCTAGATAGGCAGTGCCAACAACGACCTGCAACAATACACCACATAACAGCAACGTCGTTGCCACAATAAATTTAGAGTAGTGAGATTCTGTCGCTACGACAGTACAAAGCCTTGACAACGAGGCTTAAGCCTATAATACACGCCGACGCAAGCTTCTCAATCTACAGGGTGGTCCCGAGGTAATGGGCCAAAATTCATGGGTAGATTCCCGAAGCAAAAATATTGCGATTTAGCCGAACTTACCTTAGTCCAAAAGTTGATAGTTAAAGAGATACAGGGTGTTAAATGTAAAATATTATTTTAGTTTATTTCCATTTATTTCTTAATAAATATAAATATCTACACAAAATTTTGGGGTTTGGGCTTTTTTGGATAAAGGAATTGAAATTTGTTCATATTTTGGTTATAGTTCATAGAGGGCGCCAGCTGCCGTAGATTGAAGGTGTTGGAAACGACATAACTTGTTTGTACTTAAAGGTATCTCTCTTTGGTATCAAATTTTTATTTTCCTATTTTTTTTACACAAAAAAGGTAGACTTTATGAAAGTAGCTGTCTTGCACCGTTCCGAGATATTTGACTTTGCAACTTCCAATGCTAATAGTTGAAATAATTAAAATAATTTAGAAATGTTAAAAACAAGGGTTTATTTAGAATTAAATATTGTAATGCACAGTAAAATATTAAACATTAGTAAAAAATATACCTTTAATTGCTCAAAATGTCCACCTCTAACTTCAATACATTTATCAACACGTTTATTGAAAGATTGTCTTATTTTAAAGTATAAATCCTTAATGCGAAATGGCTTTGCAGCATTTCAATCCTGCTACTAAAATTCTTCTCATGTGTTTATAGTTTCTCCATAAACAACTGATTTCATTTAACTCCAAAAACGAAAACCTCGGCATTCTATCTCACATTTATGTATACGAGTATACAATTTAATTTGTAAGCTAAGATGTAATTTTAATTAGATACGAATAATACTTAATAGAAATTAGCATACACATGACAGTAATAAGACAAGTGGAAGACGTCAATTATTTGATATTCGTGCAAATCCTACTTAAGAAACTTTACGGCTAAATTAATAACACCTGTAGGTACTTAACTGTATGTTAATTTAATGCAACAGCATTGGAAGTTCCAAAGCCAAATATCTCGAAAACGGTGCGAGATAGCTACTTTAATAATTTACCTTTTTTGTGCAAAAAAGTTGAAAAATAAGAGTTTGTTACCAAAGATGAGATACCTTAAAGTACAAAAAAGTTATGTCGTTTTTAACACATTCAATCTACTGCAGCTAGCGCCCTCTATGAACCAAAATGTGAACAAATTTCAATTCCTCTACTCAAAGAACTCCAATCCCCAAAATTTTGTGAGGATATTTGCATTTGTTAAGGAATAAATTAAAAAAAACTGAAATAATATTTTACATTTAACACCCTGTATCTCTTTAACTATCAACTTTTGGACTAAGGTAAGTTCGGCTAAATCGCAATATTTTTAGTTGGGGAATCTACCCATGAATTTTGGCCCATTACCTCGGGACCACCCTGTATTGATGAATCGTAAGCTGTAATTATGCATGCCTGTTGGAATCACGCAATCGATTATGTATTAACATGTTCTAAGGATTTCCACCTACATGCGACTTTAGCTACTGAAAGCGCCCCATTCCATTCTTTGGCACACGCTGTATCCCGCACCTCCCAACCCCCATCGATTCGCAGTAGGCCTAGCGCAGCTCATTTAACACGAAGGTGTTCGTTCCGCTCTGTTATTTAATTAAAATTAGGGCAGGCCTTCCTGCAGGAAGCTTAACGAAAAGGAAATAAGGTTAATCGGGGCGTCTTACTCCCAGTGCCAATAATAAATCCATATTTTATCCTGAACACTGGCATAGGATCGTTTCGTCCTCACCTTGATTAAAAATTTCGGCTTAATCGAAATTCATTACCGTCGAGATGATAAATCTTCGTTTCGCTAATGATAAAGTATTACTTTTGTCTGAATTTGTAGTTCATATTTTAACAAGCTGTCAAAATATAAGCAGCTTTCTATTCAAATGATCTATCTGCCTTGGAGTCACTTGAGATCGTGTAAATCGAAAGCGCCTACTGGTTTTAACCTCAACTGTGTGAGGGTCTTGACATTATTATAGAAATCAATGTATAACAAAGAAAAACTGTTAAGAAGTTTCTCGACAAATCAAGGAAGTGTTGTAGTTCATACAGCTAGGTTGATGATACTCATATTCTTATTAGGTACGTGCCAAGCCAAGTATTAAATTTGTATTAATAATAAATTTTAATCACATGCTGTATGATATAAGTATAAAGGTGTATGGTGATTCTTACTTTCTTACAAATATATTAGATTAAATAAGATAACGTCATTCAGATCAGATCAATTATTGTAACATGTATATTGGTGTCACTTGTAACAGATTACAACTAACATTCACATTTGAATTATTGAGAAAACATTAAGTTCCTTCTTCTTTAGATTGCCAAATAACTAGAGCTCTACCCAGATCAACAAATAAACGTACAATATGGTCTATTTCCTCCTGTTTATCAGTAATAATTCATAATATTTTTAAAATGTGAAGTACACCACTACCATGAAATATTTCTTCTCAAAACTTTATAATAAGGGAGATACTTTGTCACACTATTGGACCACCTACAACCTTTTTCTATAGGTACAAGGAATCAGATACTACTACACAGTAGTATCTGATTCCTTGTACC